AAATAAGCCATTCTTGATGGGGAAGATAAACAATTGTTTATCTTCCCCATCAAGAATGGCTTATTTCATAAAGATTTTGTTCGTCTTCAACATCTATGTCCAATTGTGTTCTTCTTCAACATCTATGTCCACTTGTGTTCTTCTTCAACATCTATGTCCAATTGTTTATCTTCCCCATCAAGAATGGCTTATTTCATAAAGATTTTGTTCGTCTTCAACATCTATGTCCAATTGTGTTCTTCTTCAACATCTATGTCCATTTGTTTATCTTCCCCATCAAGAATGGCTTATTTCATAAAGATTGTGTTCTTCTTCAACATCTATGTCCAATTGTTTATCTTCCCCATCAAGAATGGCTTATTTTGTAATCTATTGTGTCTCCCATTAATGTGGTTCTTTTGTCTGTTGGTTTATAGTTTCACGTGTGAATACTACTGTATTTAATAAACAATTAAATTAAGCTATTAATCATATAGATTGTTAACATAGAATCTAGTTCAGTTCAGTTCCCGTTTGTTGCTATATCTGTGTGCTAAAAATGTAAGTATTGTAGAATGTTTGCTTTTTGCATCAATCAGAACAAAATGCATAAAATATCATTAATATTTACCATCTTTTCCAGAGAGGTTAATTCCCATTCAGTTCAGTTTAAATTATCAAAGCCAAGCTTTTACAGTGCTGAAACTTCCTACAGTGTTGATATCTAAACTGTAAAATGACTTATGTCTATCCATAACAAAAATCTTCCAGCTTCCTTACCTCTGAGACCCAGGATAGCCAGATGGATAAGCTCTTGAATCGCAATCTGCGGGTCTCGAGTTCGATTCACCGTCTCACCAACGTGCTTGCCTAGCCGTGAAGGCGTTATAATGTGACAGTCAATCCCACTATTCGTTGATAAAAGAGTAGCCTTGTTATTATTATTCTCTTCCGGTATTGATGGCATAATCAATCTTGCCTTTATTTTGTGCCCGTTTGAGTTCTTTACTTTCATGTTTCAGGGAAAATCTAAGATTGTCTTGTTTTTCTAATTCCTTTGTACACCCCTTCTTTTAATTGTTTGCATGTGTCCTAAATGTTAATGATCGTGTGAGTTTGTTTTTCATTTTATTTATTCTGGACAATCCACTATTTATAATTTAAACTGCCTTTATTCAATTGTAAGTATATAAATATTTTTTTTTTTTACATTTCTTCAATAAACACACTTCCAAAATCCATTCATTTGCATTCATTAAGCACATTGGTTACTAGTTAGTAAATCATATTATCTTGTACTTTCCTGATCTGCAAAGCATAATGTTTCATGGAAATTAAATTTGTTTAAACTTCTGAAAATTCTTTGGCTTTTCTTAGAGAATTGGATAGAATTTGCTTAATATGACAATGTACGTGACAAACTTATACGACATTATTAGTGAAGATTATGAAATTATTATAAAAATATATAGAACTGGAAATGATGGTTATATGGAGTTAACTTTTCTCTCTGTTTCCTGTGATAATTTACAGCTCTTAATATTGGAGCAGCACACCTTTACCTAACAAACAATATCCAGGGAATTTCATTTCTGTCTTACAGTATCAGCTCGCTGTCAGAGGGAATGTGCAGATTCCATTATGAAATATGGCTAACGTTACTAAGAGCCAAAAAAAAGTTTAGTATTTACTTTATGTAGTACTTACTGTTTATAAAGCTATTTCCATATGATAATATATCTTGAAATGCTTAACACTTGATTGTCTGAAATGGAAACTCATCATTTTCTAGGTAGGTGGGGGGAGGGGTAGTAATTTCATGTTGTATAATCGTTTTAAGGCTGTACTGTATAAGTGTTAACTATTGTCTGTTGTCGAAAGTTTCTAGTAAATGATATCTTGTAGAGAGGAAGGTAATGCAGCTTACAAGAAATATTTTTTATCAGTTTTGTTTTACATTTGTACATCGTTTCTTTGAGACAATTAGAAGTTAAAATATCATCATGCTCTTAGTTCTGATGCAGAAAATAGGATGCAAATAAATATTTAATCTCTTTGTTTCTGGTTTATCAGGATAAGCTGGATATATTTGTACCAACACATTTCATTGGCTGGTGGGTCAAGGTAAGTTAAATAATAAGACTGCTTCATTTAATGGTTATTAAACTTAAATCACCTTTGTTATTGTTTAAAATGAGTAAATGATGTATTTGTGAAACGTACAAATGTCTTATTTTTCCTCAGTTCTGTAATTATGGAGTTTCACCAAGTACTGATGGTTTCAAGTATCAATTATATAAAAATTACTAATTGTTATGATTTCTACAACCAAATTAGTGTAAAACTTAACTCTCATTAGTGTCCTAATATCAATACTTTTTATTATTTTTACTAAATTACTCTGTGTTAGTTTGATAGTTTAGCCTACTACGACAGCATATTAGACACCTGAATTAGACCCAATAAGACTACAGTCTAAGTAGATCTAAGGTTAGATCTAATTAGACTATGATCCAAGGCTAGGTCTTCTTAGACTACAATCCAAGGTTAGGTCTACTTAGATTAGGATCATAGGTTAGATCTACTTAGACTGTGATCTAAGTTGTTAGTATTTTTAATGAATAAAGAAGCCATTTTTAAAGTACCCCATTACAAATTTTTCAGACTTTGATGTTACGAGACTGGTGGCTATGTTCGGTAATCAGCATCATGTTTGAAGTATTGGAGTACACACTAGAGCACCAGCTACCAAACTTTAGTGAATGTTGGTGGGATCATGTACGTAACCTCTAGTATAAAGTTGTTGAATTTTTGATAATAGTAAAAGTACACAATTTATTACTGGAAAATTGTCTGTACTCTTAGTTTCTTGAGTTATCTTCAATGATACTGCCACTGAAACTATAATACTCAGTAACAGACTACACGTGTATAACGTATTTAACTGTAATACTCAGTAACAGACTACACGTGTAATGTATTTACCTGTAATACTCAGTAACAGACTACACGTGTAATGTATTTACCTGTAATACTCAGTAACAGACTACACGTGTAATGTATTTAACTGTAATACTCAGTAACAGACTACACGTGTAATGTAACAGTTAAATACATTACACGTGTAGTCTGTTACTGAGTATTACAGTTAAAAAATACTCAGTAACAGACTACA